GCGGCACTCGTACAATCTCTGGATCGCTCTGTGCGTGCATCTGTGCGTATCGCTTCTTGCTGAACATGCAGTAACAGTGTCCTGCTGTTACACGACCCGCTCGCCCCATCCGTTGTTTGTGCGAGGCCTTAGACGCCCATTGATCTAGCAGCACAGACATGTTGTTGGTGGCATCAAAGCCCATCTCTTTGACTCTCCCGCTGTCGATTACATGCACAACATCGTCCCTGTGTGTGTGTGTGGCGTGGGGTAGGAGTGGTTAGAAGAAAACACCGAGTACGGGTGTGTATGGGTGGATGTGGGTAGGTGTGTGGCTGTGTGCTGGAGTGAGTCCAGAGATTTGTCCTGTTGTTCGTTGGAATAGGCCCCTTTCATTGACCCCTCCCCTGACCATGGCGTGTGTGTCATCGTCTCCATGGGGTGTGAGCTGTAGACGGAGGTGCCTCCAAATGCAGTACACCTGTATAGTGCACAGATATGAGAGGAACAGGATGTGCTACTGAAGTGCACATACGCTCACACGTAGTTAGACAAAGCGTGCAGTATGCATACACTCACTTACGGATACACATATATACATACACACACACACATAGGGACAAGCAATTATACACGAATATCGAAGACACTCTCACACACACCTACTTAAAGACCACCACACACACACACATATATACGGAAAAGGAAATATATACACATATCGAAGCACTCACACGCACACACACACACACACACATATATATATGTGTACACATATACACACACGCACACACACTTACAATTAATTATACACAGTTGTCGAAGCACACACTCACTCACACACTTAAAGGCAACCATATACACATTATGAAGCACCCACACACCCACACACTAGCATATTCATGGACATGTATATAGTACAGCACTAGGATGACACTTGACACTTTGACATGTAGGTGGCGACGTGTAGGTGGAGATTTACACAGCACCCCTCAACCAATACACACGCGCACACCCACACCCACACACTCACACACACACACTCTCTCTCCACTATTAAAACGAATGCATACACGCACACAAACAAACACACACACACATACATACACACAAACGCACAAACACACACACTCTCCACTAATAGAACGAATGCATACACGCACGCACGCACACAGAAACACATCCACTCACCCACACACATACATCCACACACATCCACAGACCTACACACACACACATCCACACCCATCCACACACACTAACACACTCACCCACACTCACACACCCACACTCACACGCACCCACATCCACCCACACACACACACTCTTTCTCCCTCTCCACTACTGTATGCCTGACATTGAGTAGCAGTAGATACACATCAATACTTAGAGAGCCACAATGCAAGGCTGCATATATATATATATATATATACCTAAGTGCCTACAACTGAGGTATACACAAATGCACGAACGCACAAGTCTCCTTACTTGCACCCTTTACACACACACACATACCTTGAATGTATGTGGAAGGATGTCGGCCAAAACGTTCCATCACATAGTCTCCGATGGCACTAATACATATATCTATATATACATTTATGGTCATACACGAATAGAAGTAAATTAATACACGCACACAACCTCATATACGCGTAACTTACACGAATAGAAGTAAATTAATACACGCACATAACTTCATATACGCGTAACATACACAGTAATGGAGGTTTCGGCAATATTTGTGCTGACAACCACTTTGCGCGTGCCCGCGGGCGGTCTGTTGAAGATAATCTGCTGCTGCTCCGTAGACAGCGTGGAGTGTAATGGCAGCACAAGCAGCTTTTGATTCGCGCACCTGGGTGCATGCGTTTAAGTATAAGTATAAGTACAAGTATAACCCAAGTACAAGTACAAGTATAACCCAAGTACATGTATAAGTATAAGTATAAATAAAAGTATACATATATACATATA